CATCCTGGTCACCTCAGCCAGTTTCCCAGGATACCTGGCCTTCAACACTCACCTATGGGGTCTTGTGAAATAACTGATGCTATAGTCATAAAGTGGGCATTTCACAGTTTTAACAACTGTTGTGAAACTATTCACGTTTCAGATTCTACTTGTGTCCTTATCAAAAGGAAAGATGCTATATATGGTCAAAGTATTCTGGAGTGAATTGTTGTTTATCTCTGCAGAATAGGAATAAAAATTTGGAGTCATTTGCTTTCAGCTTTGTAATTTTCTATGCTGTTGGAATTCTTTGCTCGAGCATAGAATTACTACAGCAAAAATGCAAAGGCAGGATGGATCCAGTAGTTAAAGGATTGGGAACCAGGGAAATGGAGAACTAAAAGGATTATAGAAAAGGAACCTGGCCAGTGTCGGGCAAGCCCTGTCCAACTGTAAGGTGACCTAGTTCACCTGAGATCATGTTGGTTTTAGCACTGCATGACCTGTATCCTGGAGATCCTTTCCTTTTCTTGTCTTCCTGCATTTTCTGGGACTTCCAGCACAATGTTGAATAGGAGAACGGAGAGCAAACACTTTTTCCTTGTTCCAAATACAGGGTGAAATCACCCCACCCAGTGTTTTATATGTAATGTTGCTAGCTGTAGGTTTTTGGGAGATTGTCTTCATCAACTTGAGGAAGCCCCCCTCTGTTGCTGAAGAGTTTTTATCATCAACAGCTGTTGGGCTTGTCAAAAGCTTTATTTCTGTATCAATTCATCCCATCATTTGTCTTCTTTATGTTAATGTGGTGGATTACATTAATAGTTCTGCAAATGTTCAACCAGCTTTGCACAGTTGGAATAAATCCCACCTTGTTGTGGTATATAATTCTTTTTATACATTGTTGGATTCCTTTTCCTAATATAGGGCTTTTGTATATATATTCATAGGAAATATTGGTCTGTAGCTTTCTCATGTCTATATCTGGTTTGGGTATTAGGGTAATGCTAGTTTCACAGAATGAGTCAGAAAGTATTTTCTCTACTTCTCTTTTTTTTTTTTTGGAAGAGATGGCAGAGACTTGGTAGATGGGGTGTTTAGCTCCAACTATAGTGTTTCTATGTCGCCACACATAAAGCTTATTAGGAACAAACCTATAATTGCATTTTTCTTAAAAAAAAAAATCCCAAGGCAACAGTTCACAACCAGAGACCAACAGTAGGATTCAGTGGTTTACCTGGCGGGAGTTCCTGTCCACTCAGGAATCACTCTGTTCCCTTCATGTGCATTTTATCAGGTATTTAATCCTGCTAACAGTACTGTGAGCCGTGGGCTGTCACGCTCTCCCTTTTCCAGTGAAGATCCCACGTGGGCTTATATTAGCTGAGTAAGATCATGAAGTAAGTCTTCTTAAAACACCCGGCATCTATACCCAGGCCTGGCTTTCTCTAAAGTCTGTTCTTAGCTTTTCAGAACTGGTGAAATGGTATCAGTGGTGGCAAGAAAGGTTGACTTTCCTTGTGTATTTGAAAGTTAATGGAGTTACACTGGGAGCTAAGAGGAGACTGCAGAGGTCTGAGCAGAAGAGGTGGGGCCATTTCTTAACTTTGGGCTGAGCTGGTCTTCAGACTTTCAGATGACAACTAGGGCAGGCACCTGAAAGTCAGTGCCATTGGCATTTAGGTACCCATGTTTATCCTCACCTCTCTCCCAAGCTGCCAGAAGGCTCCTTCCTCCCATGCTTGTTTCTATGGTAACTGGCTGACAGTATTACCTGGCCGCCATCTAACATACTGAGAAAAGCCAGTGTCTATTGCTAACAGAATCATATTGTGGGGAGCCTAAGGGGAACACCCAGATTTGGCTGGGGTGTTTGATGGCTGTGGTCAAGAGGTACAGTCAAGTCCCTAAAGGCAGAGCTACACATGAGTACCAGAGATGGGTCAGCTCAGATCTGGGCCATGTCCTGCTCTGCTGCTCACTTGCTATGCATCACGGGAGTCAGTGACCTGAGGTCCATGATTCCTTATCTACCCAGTGGGAGAGCTGCCCTGTCCCCTCACCCTCCCAGGCTGGGCAGCACAGAGACAGCATGGGCGGGCGTGGTGGGGGTGCTGCGGAGAGCACAACTGTGAGGTCTCGCCGTGGGTTGCCATTTCGCAACATCCTCAGGGTCAAGTCATTTCTCTGACATGTACAGGAACAGAAATCTTCATAGGAAACTGGTATCCTAACGAAAGCTCCTGACTCAGCGCCTACTTGGTTCAGTTGCTGGGGTAGGTAAGTGTGGGTTTCCATTGGGCTCCTTGGAGGAGAGTGTATCTGCCAGAGTTTCTGTCTAGACACTTGCCAAGAGCTCTGCCCAGCCCTTCAGCCTCCCTGTCCAGAGGCACAGAGGCTTTGCTGCTGCCCAGGGCCCAGGAAATCAACAGTGCTCTCCTCTCCGCCATGGGCTGGGCTGTGGCACCCCACATATTCATATGTTAAAGCCTGAACCCACAGAATGACTGCATTTGGATATAGGGGTTTAAAGAGATAACTAAGGGATGATGAGGGGCCCGTGTGCTTTTGGCAGTAGGGAGGGCGATGGAGGGGCCAAGGGCAGACCCTGCAGCATCAGCACCGAGGAGGTGGCCACCCAGCTGGCAGCTGACTTCACATCCTGCTGCCTGTTGAACCATTCTGACCTGAACAGCCCTATGCTTGCAACTTCCAATAGCTCCCTACTGCCCATGAGAAAGAGGCCAAGGTTTGCTCTTCTTTATGTCCCACTGCTCCCCTTCCTACGATTTCATTTCTTATCCTCTGAGTCTCCCAGGACATACTCTTTTTTTTTTTTTTAAGATTTATTTATTTATGCATACTGAACTGGAGTACAGGCCAGAGGGGCAAGGGCGGTGAGAGGATTCACCAGAGACAGAGTGAGGAGCAGAACAGGCAGATCGATGAAGTACACTGCTGAGGGGAGCAGTGGGCAGGTCAGAGAGGTCTGCCTCACCATGTGGCCACCTCCGGGGCAGGCAGGGTCAAACTCATGCTGAAGTGCTGTGCTTTAACCTGCTGCGCCCCCCAGGGAGGACCCCAGGACATACTCTTGCCTCTCGACCTGGCTTTTCTTTGTCCCTCATATCCCTGCCACCCATAGCAGGGACTGGAGAGGATATGCCCTAGAGAAAGGCCCAGTGGGCAAAGTCAGAGTTGAGGAGGCCAAAGGGAGGGTGCAGTGAAGGTGCCCAGGTGCTCCCTGGTCTTGGTTCTGCAGACGAGCTCTGGACCTGGTTATTGGGGGTCTGCAGAAGTGGTTAGTATCAAATCTGGGTGCTTCTTTCTGGACACTAGGTGGGCTTGGACAGACACCACTGTCTTTCTTCCCACCATGATCCAGATGTGCAGTGGGCAGTGCCCCCCAAGGAGGTCACCCAGCCAGGGCCAGTACTGGGAAGACCAGTGGCAAGGAGCTTGGGCAGCTGGCGAGCAAAGGGGCTGCGCTGGTCTGAACTGGCAGGACAGGGCCACAGCCACAGCTCCTAACGGTGGAGCCCACTGATGCGTGAGAGCTGTAGGCACGTCTCCCTGTGGCAGTGTCAAAGACAGGACTACTGACTCTGGCTTCTTGTTGTAGGGTGGGTTCCCAGCTGGGCAAAATCAAGTGCAAGCTGAAGAAGTGAAGTAGAGCAGCCGAGTGACTGTAGAGGTGGGGGCGGGGGCACTGCCTAAGGGGGACAGGGATCGCTTGTGGGGCAGTGAAAATACTTAGGACTGGAGGGTGGTGGCTCACATTGTAAATGAACCAAGTGCCGCTGAGTTGCTGTATTTTGTGATGTGAACTTGAGTGCAACTGCAGAATCAGCCCTGCCGTAGTGTCTACCTTAGGGTCTCTTGAGCAGTATCTCATCTGTTCTTCCCTCAGAGGTTAGTATCTGAGCATCGACTATACTGTGGAGATCTCATGATTGGAAATTTCTACAAGAGCAGGTAACTTTTCCTTTCAAACCAGGTGACATCAGTCCCAAGAAAATAGCTGGAGTTTTCACAGGCTCCACTCCCCCATGGCATTCGGCATTAGGGGCCAATGTCCCACCCACTACTGGGACAGCGACATCCAGAGCTGGCCTTGTGAGGCATGTCCCCAGCGTGTGCCCAACCCCGTGTGCGATCCAGGCCACCCGGCTTTGTGATCACAGAACTGGACTCCGTGTCCCTGCAAATACCCACTCAGGCTGCTGTGTGCAATCTGAGGTCTCTCTGGTCTCAGTCTGGTGGTTTCTGGCCCTGGCTGCACATTCGTTTTAAAAAATTCACTGATGTCTGAGATACACCTGACTGATTAAACTTGAATATCTAGAATTTAAAAATACTGGGAAATTCTGAAAAGCTCCTCCATGGCTATAGCATACAACCAGAGTATTGATGACACCCCAAGTCTCTTCCCATTAGAATCATTATCCGAGGGTGCCCAGGCCCACAGACCATGGCCTGTCACTGTACAACCTCCCAGCCAGCACCTGTGCAATTCACCCACCCAGCCTGCACCTGTGAGACCCCCAACAGATGGCACATGTGTGACCCACCCATCTGACACCCAGAAGGTGGACCCACTTTGTCTGAAGTACCTCCTGGGGCTACTGAACCTTCCTCCTTGCTCTGAGCTAATTGCTTGACTACACTATCTACAAGCAGGTACAGAGTAGCCACAAGGAATCACAGCTCTCCCTGGGAAGCCCTCCTCCATCCCCAGTGCGGTTCTCACTGACCCTGAATGCCTTCAGAACCCCAAGTTGTTCGTCAGGGCCCCCAACAACCACGGCCATAAAGAAGGCTGTTTATTCAAACAGACATAGAATAGCTCCCGAGGTGAGGGGTGAGGGTGGTGCCAGGCTCTGACCACAGATGCCCCTACATGCTCTCAGCCCATAATATCAATACAACCCCTCTGGATGGTCTTGGGTTGCCCACCCCTCAAGCAAGAAGGCAAAAGCAAAGGTAGTCACATCACACATAGAATAAAATAAAATTCTTACTGAAATATCTGGCTGCAAACGCTCTTCTTCTGCTGGAAGCTGTTGGCAGCATAGTGAAGCTGGCCGTCTACACGCAAATTTCTTGTATATCCTTTTTCTAAAGAACCAACCACATCCTCAAGCAGACAAGCTAATTCCTGTTTTCCAGTAACAGGAGATCAGCATCTATAGAAAAGAAATATATTTAGAATGCCCTTTATCTGGTGTTTTCTTGGATCTCAAACTAGAAGCCTCGTTGTGAAGAATTAGTCCCTTAAATGCAAATATACCCAGGGATATTGGAACAGCCTCAAACAAGTCACAGGGCTGCGGGTATCAGTTCCTCAAATCTCGAAAATGGGAGCAGGAATGACAATTCCCTCTCAGAGTGAATGGCGGATTGAGGAGCTAGTGGGTATAAAATGCCAAAGCCTACAACACAAGGCAGATGCTGTTTGATCTTTGTGATCACCTGACCTGGACTGAAGGGAGCCTTATTTTCTAGATCCTTGAAAAATGGCACAAATAGCAACCTGCAAGCCCACACATGGCTTTCAGATGCTGTCGTGACCCTCATATGTCAGGGAGCCGGTGGAGGTGATGGTCCCGAGCCCTGGAGGAAGGGGGTCCCAGGACCATGCAGAGGCAGACCCTTACTCTGCACACTGGCTGCTAATATTGTGCCCCCCCTCCCATTTCTGCGAAATGGCACCATGATTACATGGTTTACAGTTAGGAAAAACTGAAAAGGAAAACCCCCATCAGGAAATAGACCAGTGATGTTTCTGCAGCCTTCAGCATCACTGAGATAGTGGTTCTGGCAATGTAAGGGGGAGGCAGGTCCAAGTGGGGGGCTATGGTCCCCTCTAACTCCATAGAAGTTCACATAGGCAGAGGAGCAACTCCTCGGGACATGCACCAGAATGTTCTTCCCATCACCCACTTGTCTCCCTTGCTCCCCTGCCTCTAATATTCAGCTGTAGTGTGTTTGTGATTGCACAGCCCATCACTGCTGCACAGATAAAACAAGCCTTGCCAAAGCCTTGGCACTTGGGACTGTAGGAAAGTGGGGGGGGGGGCGAGCTGCCACCCCCACAGGAATAGAAGCCTGGACTTTGAGCAGTTGGGCAGCATTCAGTAGGAAGTGACGGAGCAGTGTCACCCTGCTCCATGCCTTGATGAGCCATGGGCGGCTCCTGCTGTTGGTGTTCTCCAAGAGGAGCATGGGGGCAGTAGTGGGGAAGGGACAGACTCTGCTCCAGGGAGTGACCTGAGGCCCGGGAGCAGAAGGAGCCAGGTGGGGACAGCTTATCTGCAAGGCCCAAACCAGAGAAGCCAGCATGTGCTTGGGTCCAAGAGAAATGAGGTTTGGTGTGCAAAGGGCAAATTGCAAAGTGAGAAGAGATGGAGCCTCAAAGTCCAGAGGCAGAAATGGAAGCAGAGCTAAGGTGTTCAAGGAGTGGAGAGTCTGAGGAGTCACAGGCCTGAGGACTGTGGCGCTAGAATAAACCTCTGACAGCCGTGGGGCTCAGAGACAGCCTTCTGCACTCGCTAAGCACAGTCTTGGAGGGAGATGGTGGAGAATGACGAATGGGAGGAAGTAGTCCATGTCGTGAGTTGGTACAAAATGCACTTTCAAATGAGAAACTCTGGGTCCATGTCGAGGGTTTTCCTTTTTCAAGTAGTGTGAATTTGAACATGCACTGAAATAGGGCTATCAGATTCAATAAATAAACATACAGTATAATCAGTTACTTTCTTAGTGTAAGTGAGTTCCAAATGGGTAATAATGTCTACTGAGAAGATATTGTTGATCTGAAGTTTGGATTTAATTGGCATGCTGTATTTTAGCTTATATTCTATTAGTTTGTATTATAGCTTCTGAATATCCATCCCCCCGTTGTTGAAAAGGCAATAATCAGATAAAAACCTTTCAACTGCTAGAAACAAAACAATTAAAATTGACTTAAAAAATAAAGATTAATGGGTCCATTAATAGGAAAAATCTCATTATATGGGCTTCAGGAATGGCTAGATCCAGTAGCTTGACAATATCAACTACATCTGCTTTCTTTTTTCCCTCCCCCAAGTCCTCTTGTTTGCTTCTTGGGGTGTCTGCTTCATTGTCATAAAGTTGCTTTATTATTTAAAAATGCTAGACATTAGCTTTAGGAGCTAATCCTTTTTCTTTCATGTGTAATCAGGAAAAAGATCATATCTTTCAGTGTCTCGCTAGAAGAGCTCAGGAGAGTACCCTTCCTACCTTCCTAAGCATCTCTTGCCTCATGGTCTTGATCGGGCCATTAATCCATCACTGAACCAATTCTGATGACTGCGGAATGAGATACATTGACTGGCTAAAGCAGCCTGGTGCCATCCCCAAAATTAGGGGGAGCTGGCTTTAAGACACAAGGGTTGATATAGGAAATAGATGCTAGAAGAGAGACCAGGGAACCGTGACCCTGAGGAGGGAGAATACACTGGAATGGTTCTAAAGATAGTTGAGACAGGGCCAGGTGTGTGTGTGTGTGTGTGTGTGTGTGTGTGTGTGTGTGTGTTTCCCCTTGGGCATGTTGATTTTTCCTACTTTCTTTCCTAGATTTCTCCTACTTTCTTTCCTAGCCTCTCCACTTCCCCTGGCTAGGACCCAATCTCAGTCCTGCTATCACAGAGTTGTTTGGGAGACAGTGAGCTGGACCTCTGTCCTGCGTGAGCATTGTGCCCTGGGTAGATCCCTGCCTCTCACTATCTCTATCTACATCACAAGGTGGGGCATGTGTGTGTGTGTGTGTGTGTGTGTGTGTGTGTGTGTGTGTGGCCAGGAGGGCACAAGTTGGAAGACAACCTTCTCAGGCCCCACCTTGCAGTGGCAGTAACACATCCCAGGGCACAGGCTTCTGATTTGGGGAAAACACAGGTAGAAGGGCCAGTGTGGAGGGTTCTGCTCTCCGGCCTGGGGCCCATGAGCTCTGGGGCAGAGGGCATGGGAGAACAGCTCTCCAATCACCCACTTAGCCCCGGCCTTGCCCTCACCCAGCTTTCTCAGAGTTGAACAGCAGGCCACACCCAGCTAAGCTCAGCATGCTTGGGCATAGCTTCTCCCCTGCTAAGCAGCACCGTGGAAAGAGAGCAGGGGGATGACTCAGCTAGGAGCATGATTGGTACGAGCCACAGAGCAAAAGGGCTGACCGTGGGGAGGACCTGGGAGCACCAGGTCACCCTGGACTCAGACCAGTGTGTTCTGACCCACGCACCACTCCATCTTCAGGTGTTAGTAATAGGCGAGAGTAATAGAGACCCCGAGCACTGGGGAGGTGCTGACTGGACCCAACAGTAACCCCGCAGCACCTGAGGTATTGCCATGGGATGGTGGGTCACCCCAAGTCACAAAATTCAGCATGGTGGAGGGGGGGAGATCCAAACCCAGGGTGCCGTGGCCTTCACTGCCACCCGCGTGTGGCACAAGTGTGGACAAGTATCCCCACGTACCCTGAACCAGCCTAGCCATCTGGGTACCTGCTGGCTCCTCACTCATCTCCCAGAGTCCCCAGCTGCTACTGTGTGTGACACCGGGTAATAAGCACCCCATCACCCTGGGGGCATCTGGGTCCTGGCTGGCAAGCGCCCGTCAGGTTTCGGGGAAAGATTCTAGCGAGGTGTCTGGCCCGGGTCTGCTCACCTGGTAGCGGGGGAGCAGGCACCTCTGTCCGCTGCCTGATGATTCTCCTTCAGGGCACCGCCTGGAGGGAGCGCTCGGGCTCCCAGCCCCCTCGCCTCACCCTGCGGGCCTGGCCTTAGCCCTGCCCCTGCCCCCGCCATGTGACGAGTGGGCAGGGGAGGTGGGCAGGACCATTAGGAAGCTGCCCAGGACGAACATCATCAGTCAGATCCAGGTTCCCTGGCTCCCGGCTATCTCTGGGGAGGACGCGTGGATGGCCTGTCTGGCCCGCTAAGAGCCTGCAGCAGTCTTGGCTCGGGAAATGTTTTCCGGGTGAGACTGACCTCTTCCAGGAAGAGCGGGGGCAGGAGGGGCGCGCACAGATGAGGTCCTGGTTTGACTTGGTGCAGAGCGCCTCCTGGCGGCCAGCAGCAGGCGCAGCGTCTCCAGGCCCTGGATCAGGGCCTCCCTCGCGGGCCGCATCCGCATCCCTCCCAGCCTCTGGGTCCACCAACCCAGAGATGAAAATCCCTCCACACTCGCCAGAAGCCTCATTTCTCCTGGGGCTATTTGGGGACAGCAGGGAATTCCTGGTGCCCGTAGGAGTCTTCTCCCTAAAGCTGAATCAGTATATGGAAAGAAGTTGGGACTGCAACAATTATTATCAGGCGAACAGCTTCAGGGTGCTCAGGGGGAGGTATCTCAGTTACTTTCCCAGGCCTCAGCATGAAGCGAATCCACGAGATTCCTGGACTGATTGGGAAACTGAGGTCACAAAGTGTGATTCATTTCCCAAGGTGCCAGATTTATAAGCTCTTGAAAAAATGAGGGGTGAAGAAGGGAGGCATCTCTTGCTAACCTCGCCTGCCGGTGGTGCGTGTCTGGGGGGCAGAGAACCCCATTCTCTGAGAGCTACCCCCTCCTCCCCTGTGCTTCATGTGCCCCTCACTCTCCTCTCTGACTATGGGGACGTGACTGGCCATGGACTTAAGCTTGATTTGGCAAGTGGGCAGAGCTGAGGCAGTGTCTCTGGCAGTCCAGCCTCAGGGAGGAGATGATGCAGAGACAGGTGGTCTCACCCCTCCAGCCCCAGGCAGTGGGATATACAATCCCACCAGTTCTTGGAGCTTTTTTAGAGTAGGACAAGCGAGGCCATGTAGAAGGGGGTTGCTGCTCAGGTAAGGAGGCACATGCCTGCTATTGGACCAGCGCTCAGAATTTCTGAGAAGCAAGGCATAATGTCCTGTGTTGGACACTGGCACTCCTACTGGGGACTGGATTGGAAAACAGCATTTCTGGCCTTCTCTGTGCAGGACTAACTCTGCCCAGGCTCGCTAGGGGAGGGGCAGGAGGTGCAGATCACACTTCATTAAGAGGTGCAGAGGGCACAAAGAGGGCTTTGGAGTCAGGCAAAGTCAAGCGACTTACCTAGGTCACTAGATTAGTTATATGTTTGAGTCTCCCTCCCACCCCTGCCCCACCCCAACCTGTAAAATGAGGATAACGGTACTGCTGACTCCAGGGACTTATTGTAAGGATTGAGAGAGGTAAATCATACAAAGCACTTAGCTAAATGCTCTGTGTTAGTCGCTGAACCTCTTGCAGTTCTCAAACTAGGTTTCCTGCCCATCTTTAAAAAGTATGAATTTTCATATCATGCGATAACTTGAAAAGTAGACTTTTTTTTTTTAAAAAAAAAGATGGGATGGCTAACTTACAATCAAACACTCCCAGTGTCTGAATTTGCATCTGTGTTTAAAATCAAGTAAGTGGCAGAAAGCATGCCTATCGCTAATGTTCAGGATGTTGGCCTCTGGTGAGACGGCCTCTCAGGTGACCAGCAGCTGGCCTGTGGCTGCCTCTAGAGAGTCTTTTCCTGTCCAGCTCCCCACCACCGCTGCCAGCATGACCGAGTGAGAACCCCACCCTAACTGGGAGCTGTCACCATCCTTGGGTTGACTGATTGTGAATTAGGTTCTATGTGGTGGCTCAGGGTGGTTGGAAGCCACCAGAAATCAGGGTCATCACAAAAGCTCCCTGAGGCCTTTGCACAATGAGCCACTGAACACCAGAAGTCACAAATCCAGCCAGAAACACACTGAAGATCACATCTAATTAAGAGTGCTTATTAACTTTTTTGATTTACAGAGCTAAGTTATGCTATTCTAATTATAAACATTTCAGTTGTTATAAAATATAAAATGAACATTGAAATACCATATATTGTTTTATGTGTGTAAAAATTTAGACTTATGTTGAAGTTCAAAGATTGTTTCCTCCTTTTTTTGCAGAAGATTTCCCATTTATGGCAGAAGAAACACCCTAATAAAGGTACCAAGCAATCCTGACTGCAATTGGCAGTCATGACCACAAGGTGGAGCTCTCGTCACACTGCTCTGTTTTCTGGCTGCACAGTTCCGGTCTGAAGAGTGGGCTCAGGAACAGGCATTCTGGTGACCTCAGGGGCTTCGGGGGGCTACGCAGCATCTAAGAGAAGTTCAATTTTATGGGGGACTCTGAGCTGGGACAAGAGTGAGTCATTTAGGGTACAACATTTAAGGAGGTAATTTGTCTCTCTCTAGGCCCGCCCTGGCCTACTGCTAGGATGTGGTGAAGAGAGCAGGAGAATGGGGGCGTGACCCCCTAAGGCCCTCGGAACGGGGAGCAGATCCCTGGCCAGGTCAGGCCCATCAGTTCCCTGGCCAGGTCATGCCCATAGAGCAGGGGCACTGAGGCCCTTAGGCTGCCCCAGAGGCTGTGGTCCGCACACCAGGTGTTCTGTCAGAAAGGGGACTAAGGAAAATGGACAAGGGGGATGCGTCATCCCGTTCCGCCCTGAAGCAGGGGTGAATGTGAGCATGGCTGTCCGCCGCAGAGAGGACAGCGGTCTGTGTGGGCAGAGCAGGCTTCCCTGCCGTTTGTGTCTTCTGCCGTGTCCGCTCCACCGAGCGGGAGGAGCAGCAGCGGCGGGCACAGGCCTGGAGGCCCGCGCCCCTGGCCAGCGGGTGTCTGCAGGGGCCCGGAGCTGGGCATCGCTGGTGATACCGAGGAGCGCAGGAGGCCGTGAGGTCAGCGAGCTGAGCCGCCAAGTGTGGAACGCCGCGTGTGCAGGGCGTGACGAAACCAGTAAACATCTGGTAAGTCTGAATTATCCTCATGTATAAAAAAAAAATCGCGCATGACACAATCACTAATATGGAGTACTAAAACGTGGAAGAGAAGGGGGGAATTAGAGCCTGGAGACTCCTGGGGCACTTCAGATAATCACTGTCCAACAGAGATACATTGCAATTGCAATTTTTCTAGTGGTTGCATTATAAAAGAAACAGGTAAATTTAGATTAACAATATATTTTATTTAATGCAGCATATGTAAGACATAATTTCAACATGTGATCAATACAATTTTGTTAGTGATTTCATATTATTTTTATGTTTAAATCTTCCTAATCTGGTATATATCCTCTATAATACATTTCATTTTGAATGTTAAATTTCTTTGGAAATATTTCATCTATATTTGGATTTTACAAAAGTTAGAGTTGAAAAAGATGATTCAGTAACAAAATTGTTCCAAACATATATAAAACCTCTTCAATGCCGTATCGTATATTTTTTAAATTTAAATTTAAATTAAGATAGAAATTTTAATTGTCCAAAGGATTCCATTTCAAATGCTTAATAGCCAAAGGTAGCCCTCTGTATTGCTCACTGAAGCACTATACTTCTTTTTTTAAGTCAACTATGCATGTGAAAATTTTAAGAGTAACAAGGAATGAATTGAGTAGGATGTACAACTTTTAAACCAGTAGAGGGAGATAAAGTCAAAAAGTCTTACTAACTTCAACAAAAAGAAGAAAGGGAGGAAACTGTTGAATAGTCATGGTAAATATAAACACAAATAAGAAGGTAACAGTAAGTATAATATATCAGTGGTCACAGTTAAAGTCCAGATTAAATTCCTATATCAAAAGATAGAGGTTCTTCGGTTATATATATATATTTAAAAATCCAATTACAGCTATTTGCCAAAAGATAAACCTAAAATGTAAAAGCCAAGAAATACTGAAAAATATATCACAGGCAAATAGTAACTAAAATAAAGCAAGTATGTGAAGTAACATTAGTACAACATAAGACAGACTGTGAAAAAAGCCTTATTGAGGGAAAGATTGCTGTTACAAGATGATAAAAGGAATAAAGCACAGTGATAACAAAAGTTTTGAGTCTATAAACACCTAATAGCAAAGTTTGAAAGGATACAAACAAACAAATCTGTGCTATTAGAATCTGACACATTCATAGTCTTAGTGAAAATTTTATGACATCAGTCTCAGAAAAGGACAAATCAAGCGGAATAACAAACTATTAGTGGAGACTGAAGATTTTGAGCAACACAGAAAGCAAGCTTGATATAATAGATGGACATAGAAGCCTTTACCCATGGAATGTTTATAGAAATTGAGTGATTCCCATTTTACAAAGGAAGACTACACAAACTCTAAAAAATCGATATTATTCAAAGTTCTCTGATCTCAATGCAATAAAATTAGTTATCAATAACAAAAGAGAGTTAAAAATAAAGGACATCCATCTAAACACTGAAAAACACATTACTAATTTATGTCTCAAAGGAGATATTGGAATGGAAGTTATAAAATATTTAAAATTGAATGCCAAGCAAACAATACTTTTTAAAACATCATATGTAGCTAACATCACAACCTCTAAGGAAATTTAGAGGCATTAAATGTGTATATCTGAAAACAAGAAAAGGTTGAAAATCAACTAAATATCAGCTAAAGAAGTTCTTAGGAAAAGCACATGATGATAGTTCACTTTTTTATCTTTCCAAGTCTGGGTCTGAAGGAAGTGAGAAAGATTCTTTGTGCTCTGTAACTTTTTAAATGTTGGAGGTCCCTGGCTTAGCTCTGGGCCCTTTTCTCTTGTATCCTCTCCTAGGTTGTTTTATTTATTTCTGCAAAATACCACCTGTATTTTGATGAGTTTCCTCAGATTGGAGCTCAGCTCTAAGCCTTCCTCTTTGACGACTGCTTAGCCTCAGTGATTAGCCCCAACCTGTCCCCAGCTTGTTCCTTTTCCCCACGGATACCCCTATATTAGCCTTATGCAAACAACTAGAGGTCACACTTGATTTTAACTTCCACCCCATTCCATGACTAAGCCTTGCAATTGCTTTTATATCCAGATAGATCTCTCAAAATCC